GTCTTCCCACAATCTATCACTGGTCACAATCCCTCACAGGTCTACCACAATCTGTCACTGGTCTACCCACAGTCTGTCACCGGTCTACCCACAATCTGTTACTGGTCTACCAACAATCTGTCACTGGTCTACCCACAATCCCTGAATGGTCTACCCACAATCTGTCACTGGTCTTCCAACAATCCGTCACTGGTCTACTCACAATACGTCACTGGTCTACCCACAATCCCTCACTGGTTTTCCCACAATCTGTCACTGGTCTACCAACAATCCCTCAATGGTCTACCCACAATCTGTCACTGGTCTTCCAACAATCTGTCACTGGTCTACCCACAATCCCTCACTGGTCTTCCCACAATCTGTCACTGGTCTACCCACAATCTGTCACTGGTCTACCCACAGTCTGTTAATGGTCTACCCACAATCCATCACTGGTCTACTCACAATCTGTCACTGGTCTAACTACAATCTGTCACTTGTATACCCACAATTCCTCACTGGTCTACCCATAATCCCTCACTGGTCTACTCACAATCTGTCACTGGTCTACCCACAATAAATCACTGGTCTACCCACAATCTGTCACTGGTTTACCCTTAATCCATCACTGGTCTACCCACAATCCATCACTGGTCTACCCACTATCCCTCACTGGTCCAACCGGAATCCCTCACTGGTCTATCCACAATCAGTCACTGGTATACCCACAATCACTCACCGGTCTACCCACTATCTGTCACTGGTCTAACTACAATCTGTCATTTGTATACCCACAATTCCTCACTGGTCTACCCATAATCCCTCACTGGTCTACTCACAATCTGTCACTGGTCTACCCACAATCCCTCACTGGTCTTCCCACAATCTGTCACTGGTCTACCCACAATCTGTCACTGGTTTACCCACAATCTGTCACTGGTTTACCCTAAATCCATCACTGGTCTACCCACTATCCCTCACTGGTCTAACCGGAATCCCTCACTGGTCTATCCACAATCAGTCTCTGGTCTACCAAAAATCCCTCCCTGGTTTACCCACAATCTGTCACTGGTCTACCCACAATCCCTCACTGGTCTACCCACAATCCCTCACTGGTCTTCCCACAATCTGTCACTGGTCTACCCACAATCTGTCACTGGTTTACCCACAATCTGTCACTGGTTTACCCTAAATCCATCACTGGTCTACCCACAATCCCTCACTGGTTTACCCACAATCTGTCACTGGTCTAACCGCAATCCCTCACAGGTCTACCTACAATCTGTCACTGGTCTACCCACAATCTGTCACTGGTCTATGAACAATCCGTTACTGGTCTACCCACAATCCCTGACTTGTCTCCCCACAATCCCTCACTGGTTTACCCACAATCCCTCACTGGTCTTCCCACAATCCCTCAATAACCAATCATTCCAGTGGTAACCTGTGCCTCTTGATTGTAGATCAGTGTTGAAAGGCAAACCACCAGAACCGAAAAGTCAGTTGTCAGTATAAAGAGGCCTAATTGGGTTACAATATTCCAGTGTGAACGCACTATAAATGATTCAACCTTGACTGTCATACTGACATTATAACCTTAAAGACAACACATAACCTCAGGTGAGAATCATCTGATTTCTGTTTCAACACTGAAATGCAGGAATATCACAAGTGTAGTTATAAGATCATATTATTCTTTCCATATTTAAAAGTTGGTAATCACGACTTCCAGTTTTTCCTCCTTTTGCAGCTTGCTGTCCTCAGGTTCAATTAATTCGGTTGACTATAAGTACAAAAATACCTATTTTCTTGTGTCAGGGTAAACTGTGCATACCACATGTACAAATAAAATGCTCTTCATCTTCAGTAGTTTGTTAAAAAAAATCTATGTAATGTCATCTTTATCTTTGTTTTAGGACAAAATTATCTTACAAAGTACAACAAGGTTATAGTCATCAAGACACCCCCCCCCCTGTTGTTCATTCATAAAATATAAATATACATTTAAAGTGAGCAACATGGAAACTGAAGTGTTGAAACCATTTATTGTTTGTGTTCAGTTTAAAGTGATCAGTATAATAGTACTGTGAATTATAATCAGCTTATCATACCTTTATATTCCCTTCTTCTACCCAATGGTGATGATAGAATATTTGTCACTTCATTTCAGAGATGCTGGATCAATCAATGATTCTATTACCACTCAAGTATGATACAACAGTGAAACGGTTTATACACATTAATAAAATACATTACAGCATCTAACAGATATGTAGAATTGCAAGAAAGTTGCGATCAGTAAAACAAATCATAGCCGGTGATTGTGCAACATCATTTTGAACATTAGACTTATAAAAACATTGTGTAGATTCACTATCATAGGTTTATTAAGGGCTTTTTACCAACTGATGTAGAGACCTATTGTTAATGTTCCATTTCTTATTATTCTCAAAGAATTTTGTGGCATCAAAGTTTCTGAACAGGTAAGAGATATGTTTAAAGTCTTTTAAGGTCTCTTATTATCACTTCAGAAGATACTCTGTGCAAAGCAATCTGCCATTCAGGTTTCAGCTGCCTCATTATATATTCACAGAATTAGCCGAAAAATCAAACTTAAGAGCGGGGTTAAGGTACCAAGACTGCTTATTTGATCATTCCTTTGAAAGAAGTGTGGAAACCGATCCTCAAGACTGTTTCTAGAAATCGGCCAATCAGGTAAGAGCTCCAGGATGCAAGAAATTCATGGTTGCTCGAACTTGAGTGAAGAGATTATGTGATAAGTTTACGAAGCAATTCTTATCAAAATTCATGGGTTCCTTCAAAAGATAATATGTGGAAAGCATTCTGTAAGGGTGCTGAAAGATATCAGTCAATCAGGTCACAGCAGCCTCATTAAATATGGGCAGAATTTGTTGTTAATCAAAATTTAGGCAAAGGATTAAGGTAACAAGCTAATAAGAGTGCCAACCAAGTTTCATCAAAGTCCCACTAGTCCTTCAAAAGATATCATTGGGAAAGCAGCATCTGGACAGATGGAAGGACGGACGGACTGACAGAACCTATTTGAATATCCCCAGCAAACTTTGCTTGGCGAGGGAGAGTAACTCTTGAATATCACATAACTGGCAACACCTTGCTATAATCAGTTTACTTGAATAATTTAAAAAATGAATTATTCAATCCAAAAGAGCCATGACAACATAACAGGGAGAATTGAATTTCTGGGTTTTTATTTTGGTCCCTGACTGTGTCCAGACTTACACCTTGAATTCTTCATAGTACATCAATAGGATGTGATATAAGGTTGAAATTTATCAATTCATATTCCTTTCCTGAGAAAATCCCAGGAGCTAAGAATAATGGGTCAAACCTTAATAGATATAGGAATTAAAAGGCAATTTCCGATGTAAAATTGAAAGAAAATTGAAATTTGGAGAAAACAATTTGATTACTGATGAGCCAGCTGGATCATTGATCAATGGCCTCCTGATCTCATCCTACCACCATTTGTACTTATCTTAAAACAAATTAGTTTAATCCATATTTGGCTTTGAGTGGTTAAAACATAAGTTTAGTGATTACTTAATATCATAAACTGTGTGTGAAGTCAGGGTATTCATCATGTATTACCATACAATGTTAAGTCCCACCAAAAATGTTCCAGATCAGGAAGAATACCAACTTTACTCTTCATAGCATTCTCTAATAAGCCTTTGCTTTTCACAAAAAATGATACAGAAAAAATACAATAAAAAAATTTACTTTCTTTTACACACTACAGAATATTTGGTGTAGGGTATGATCTGTGTCATTTTACACACTACAGAATATTTGGTGTAGGGTGTAATCTGTGTCATTTTACACACTACAGAATATTTGGTGTAGGGTGTAATCTGTGTCATTTTACACACTACAGAATATTTGGTGTAGGGTGTAATCTGTCATTTTACACACTACAGAATATTTGGTGTAGGGTATGATCTGTGTCATTTTACACACTACAGAATATTTGGTGTAGGGTGTAATCTGTGTCATTTTACACACTACAGAATATTTGGTGTAGGGTGTAATCTGTGTCATTTTACACACTACAGAATATTTGGTGTAGGGTGTAATCTGTCATTTTACACACTACAGAATATTTGGTGTAGGGTGTAATCCGTGTCATTTTACACACTACAGAATATTTGGTGTAGGGTGTAATCTGTGTCATTTTACACACTACAGAATATTTGGTGTAGGGTATAATCTGTGTCATTTTACACACTACAGAATATTTGGTGTAGGGTGTAATCTGTGTCATTTTACACACTACAGAATATTTGGTGTAGGGTGTAATCTGTGTCATTTTACACACTACAGAATATTTGGTGTAGGGTATAATCTGTGTCATTTTACACACTACAGAATATTTGGTGTAGGGTATGATCTGTGTCATTTTAAAGGCAGATAACATGCTTTTCCAATAACATAACATCATTATATTAAGTGTTTCATATTATGCATAAAATTATCCAAATAAAAATTTAATTTTGTTAAAACCATAACATTATTCCTTACGTCTGGTACCAATTTCAGTGTAAAACATTATTCCTTATGTCTGGTACCAATTTCAGTGTAAAACATTATTCCTTACGTCTGGTACCAATTTCAGTGTAAACATTATTCCTTATGTCTGGTACCAATTTCAGTGTAAAACATTATTCCTTACGTCTGGTACCAATTTCAGTGTAAACATTATTCCTTATGTCTGGTACCAATTTCAGTGTAAAACATTATTCCTTACGTCTGGTACCAATTTCAGTGTAAACATTATTCCTTATGTCTGGTACCAATTTCAGTGTAAAACATTATTCCTTACGTCTGGTACCAATTTCAGTGTAAAACATTATTCCTTACGTCTGGTACCAATTTCAGTGTAAACATTATTCCTTATGTCTGGTACCAATTTCAGTGTAAAACATTATTCTGATCTCTTTCTGTTCAGCCGAAGTGTAGATTAAAACAATGATTCTGTTCAGTATCTGACAAAAATCTACGTTTAATATCTTGTAACCCATGATACTGCCCCAACAATACAATTGCTTGGTACATGTATTACATAAATCAGTTCCTCCAGACTTTTACATAGTTTCCACTCTGCATTCCTCATATTTGTTGCCAATTTTTATCAAAAATAACCTCCATGATAAATAGTGTAATATCTGTATAACTTTTAAAAGATTCATTTACTGTAAAATAACATATTTTTGTGGGGTCTTCAATCTCATGGTTAAAAAAATATTAGTTGGAACTTGATTTTATGGTTAAATCTTGCTATCAAAATCCACAAGTAGAATAACCCATGTTTAATGTCATCTGTTTATCATTTTGTGAACAAATTCAAGGGAAGTAACCCTGCCACAAAAGCAGAAGATTTTACAGGGTTTTTTATCAAGGACTTCATTGTAGCAGTTGATATTCCAACCCACAAGAACTTATTCACATCGTCTGAAAACCGCTGAATATAGACAGTTCCATATCATACTGAAAAAACTTCAATTTAACATATCACTACACTGGTAGATTTTGGGAAATTGTCATAAAGTTTTCAATTTTTCTGTCAGAGATATCCTGCTGTTAGTGACTCTCTCCTTTCTTTCCTGCAACCTGAAACATTAAACAAAAAGAAACAACCGTTAATCGTTGACAAATAGAAATGTTCTGATGATATAAATAAATCACTAAAAATTATCTCCATATTTATATTTAAGCATTGTCTGGATGATCAATTGATCCATTTGTTTTGAGTAAGATTTACTCCAAATCGATCTTGACATTATGAAGTAATTGAAAGTAGTCACCAAATACCAAAATAGCTACTTTAAAATCATATTTTCATGGAGCTAAAATTTTTCAGTTTTACAAAAATATGCACTTTTGTTGACACTTAATTTTGAGAATTTATATATTAATCACTAAATCTACTTGCATCTGGTTATCATTTCATGAATATGATTTTTTTTTTGTTTATGGATATGTAACAAATTAGATTTTATCCTACTTACCCGTTTGAAGTCGGCCATATTTGTGGAAGCACCTGTACTGCCTACAAATCCCAGGTAATCTATCCTGGTTGTTTCAGAATCATCCAAATTGTCTTTTACAAATAACTTAAAGAAAAGACAGTTATATTAATGGACACTAAAATACAAATGACTTTGATTACTTTATTTTTAAAAATGTTTCGAATAGAAAAGGCTTTAAGATATGAATGCCCCTACCCTATTCAAAAGGTGATAAGACCAGGAACAGAACTGAGAGTATGTTCAGGGGTAACAACCAAGGGGTATGAACCAAATTCTAAATCTTAATGGAGAATGATGTGGACGGATGTAGGTCTCACTATATGTTTGCCCCTCCCACCCTCCACCCCTCCCCAAAACCATCTTTCATAAAATGCTGATGGCATTACTTAATTCAGTATTCCTTTAAATGGACAGATTTAACTTCATTTCAATTATTGCTATAATGCTGACATTCTTTGTAATACACTAAACATTCTGATATTTGACATAGCGTAGATTTTTCTGTGTCATACTCAACATTCTGATATTTGACATAGCGTAGATTTTTCTGTGTCATACTCAACATTCTGATATTTGACATAGCGTAGATTTTTCTGTGTCATACTTACTGTAATGCTTGTAACATTCTGATATTTAACATATCGCAGATTTATCAAGGTGCCTTCTTTCACATCATCTGGAGTGAGTCTGAAGTAAAAAATCAGTAGTTAGATACGGATGACATTTATTACCTACAGATTCAGTGAATAAGCGCTTTTACTTGGCAGTTTCTTAGGGAGCTACACTGATCAAAGTTATGTCCATTGGTGGTCTTGAAAAATTGTTACCAGAATAACTTCAAACATTCCCAAAACAAACCAGAAACATTACTATATATGACTGTTACACTTTAGAGACAATTTTCTGACAAGTTGCAGTATCAAAACATAAACATGTAAATATGTTAACAAGAACTTTTTCTTTCCAAGTTTTGTTTGTCCAAACATCACTGTAATCTAAATATGAAATATAACATGATCACATATTTTTACTTCACCAGGAGTAACTGTTAACCTGCAAGAATAATGTGTAATACCACTCAAATAGTCCATGATGGAAGATAGTGTTGTATAAAGTAAGTCTATTATATACCATAAAAGGCAGGTGTGGTGTAGGCTACAACAAGGTGAAAATACATTCCTTTCCTTAGCTTGATCTATGCAGACTACAGTGAGTGTTGTGACGTAATTTTGCTCATCGCTTTTGAATGAGTGGACCTCACCAAAAGCCTAGATTTTACACTCACTCTAAAGTCTGTGTGGGTTCCATGTGTTCAGCTTTATCAAAGTCCAGGGAATTGGGAAGATTCTGGAAAACTTTCACCGTTTTGGGTCCATTTTCTATAATACAACATAAAAGGCATTTTTCTGAATATTTGTGAGCAATACATATGATATGCTGTTACTGTGGAGACTGGTATTGTGAGCAATACACATGATATACTGCTACTGTGGAGACTGGTATTGTGAGCAATACACATGATATACTGCTACTGTGGAGACTGGTAATGACCTTCACAATCATTAACACTCCAGTCTCTCACTGGACCTACAGTTAAGGTCCACAGAAAATATTGATAGAATTGATGTAAATTTTAAAAAGTGTGTGTGTGTATGTGTGTGTGTGTGAGGGTTACTACTTAAAAAGTCAGAAATAAGTTTGAAGTAAACAACCATTTGTAAAAAATTCTGATCCTGTAACTATCAACATTAAAACAACAAGACAAAATTATTTTCTAATGTCATTTACCTGCAGGTCCATATATTTTCAGGGAATGTAATTTCACACTTTGGTTGAATTCAACACTTATTATCAACTGAAATAAAAACGTCACAATTATATTCTGAAAAAAAAATAGTCAAGAAAATCTAGTATTTCTGAATCATCAGGTTAATGGAATATCCTTGCTAGCTTGCTGTTAAGATTTTGGTATTTTCCAAAACATTTTTTTTCATTTTTCATTGAAACGTCAATCATTTGATAATCAAGGATTAGTAAGATAAAATGCTTTATAATAATTGTATATGACAAACAGAGGGGTAGTACAATGTAAAAGACTTTTAAAAACTACACTGAACAAGAATGATAGGAGAACAGCATAAGGACAAAGTGAAATGGTGAACTGAAAATCTGATACAATAATTTTATGTAGATATTGACACCAATAATGATAAAAGCCTCTCTTTGTTGATGTGAAACAAAATTCCAGCTTGCAAATTGATCCCATCTTTTACCTGTTCATCACAGTCCGATTCTAAGTAGCCTCCCTTTGTCGTGAACGCATGTTCTAGTGGGTGGTCGTCTGCCTCATTTAGACATTCACAGCCAGACTTGTTGATAACGGATGCTAGATCAATCTGTAGAGAGAGAGAGACATGTTGATAAAGGATGCTAGATCCATGTGTACAGAGAGAGAGACATGTTGATAAAGGATGCTAGATCCATCTGTAGAGAGAGAGAGACATGTTGAAACCTAACACAAGTCTTGAATTTGATGTTAAGTTTGTCTTCATCTGCATACTATTTAGAGTGAATGTGAAAGTTTCCATCTGAAAATTTGATATTTTTCAAAAAGTTATAAATCAAATAAGATTATATGTAACTATTGTTAACACTGGTTATATGACCCAAAGTTAACAAGCTATTTCATCCCTTAAACTTTGTCTTATATAGCCACTCAGGTCTATCTATAGAATAGTTCCCCTTATCTTATAAAACATGTGAAACTCCTTTTCACATTTAGACTACAGCAGAGTAACATCTCATAATCTGTTTGATTTACTAGCAAATAGATGGAAAACTAAAAAATAAATCCATTTCACAAAATTAAAAATGTTAACCCAGGACAATGTTAACCCAGGACAATGTTAACCCAGGACAATGTCCACCCAAGGTGATGCCAACCCAAGATAATGTCAACCCAAGACAATGTCAACCCAAGACAATGTCCATCCAAGGTGATGCCAACCCAAGATAATGTCAACCCAAGACAATGTCGACCCAGGACAATGTCAACCCAGGACAATGTCCACCCAAGGTGATGCCAACCCAAGATAATGTCAACCCAAGACAATGTCAACCCAAGACAATGTCAACCCAGGAGCCTCCTAGACCTTCTAGTATTTGAGAAGAAGTCGTTTGAATGAAAAGTTTACGGACGGCGCACGGCGGACGACGACGGACGAAGCATGATGACAATGTCAACCTAGGACAATGTCCACCCAAGGTGATGCCAACCCAAGACAATGTCAACCCAAGACAATGTCAACCCAGGACAATGTCAACCCAAGACGATGTCAACCCAAGACGATGTCGACCCAAGACAATGTCAACCCAAGACAATGTCGACCCAGGACAATGTCGACCCAGGACAATGTCGACCCAAGACAATGTCGACTCAAGACAATGTAAACCCAGGACAATGTCAACCCAGGACAATGTCAACCCAGGACAATGTCGACCCAAGACAATGTCGACCCAAGACAATGTCAAGCCAAGACAATGTCAGCCCAAGATAATGTCAACCCAAGACAATGTCAACCCAGGCCAATGTCAACCCAGGACAATGTCAACCCAGGACAATGTCAACCCAAGATAATGTCAACCCAAGACAATGTCAACCCAGGACAATGTCAACCCAAGACAATGTCAGCCCAAGACAATGTCAACCCAGGACAATGTCAACCCAGGACAATGTCCACCCAAGGTGATGCCAACCCAAGATAATGTCAACCCAGGACAATGTCAACCCAGGACAATGTCCACCCAAGGTGATGCCAACCCAAGATAATGTCAACCCAAGACAATGTCAACCCAAGACAATGTCAACCCAAGATAATGTCAACCCAAGACAATGTCAACCCAAGACAATGTCAACCCAAGACAATGTCAACCCAAGACAATGTCAACCCAGGACAATGTCAACCCAGGACAATGTCAACCCCAGGATAATGTCAACCCAGGATAATGTCAACCCAAGATACTGTCAACCCAAGACAATGCCAACCCAAGACAATGTCAACCCATGATACTGTCAACCCAAGACAATGTCAACCCAAGATACTGTCAACCAAAATACTGTTCTTTTCACTAGATCACAAGGAGGAAGGTTTATTTGTGCTGAGTTTATAGATCAATGAATTTCCATCTTAAGTTGGACTCCTTGAATCACCATGTGGCTACGTTATTGAATGCCAGATGGATGGTACAACACTTGAGATCCAGGGCAATACAGGTGAAATTTTCTGTCAAAAGACAAAACCATGATAGCTGATCCATGATTTCAGTTTTCTGAGACAAAAACTGCCCCTGAACCAAACACCTGTGATCCTTATCCCTCATAAAGTCTGATAAGCACCAACTGAAAAGAAAGTATTGTTAATCTTGTCCATCATGACTCACATGACCCTTAATGGCTGTGTCGTCTTCCCCTTCCTGAGCGTTTCCCCCATGTTGTTTTATTTTCTCCTCAAGCTGATTAAGATCTGTCCCTTTTAGACTATCCACTACTTCTTTGTTTTTGTAAAGGATGAATGTTGGCATGGCAGTGACCTGCTGGCTTTGTGCAGTTTCCTGAAAAATGTTTACATACAATGTATCTATAATGAAAACGTTTAAGGTCATTAATGAAAAACTAAAAATACATAAAGGCATGACCATCCTCACTTCTAACTGTTACACAGAATCTAATCAGGTGAAGAACTTGATGTTATCATACTATGGGGAAAATAGGAACCAAATCTTCTAAGAAGTTCTTAAATTGATTCAGGATGGAACAGACTAATATATGTTATATAGGTAGAATATGTAACTAATATTGTTGTGGGTGCAATTAATTAAAAATTTACATCAAACAAGACTAATAGATAAAGGGTTATCCAACACTCCTCATGGTAACTTTGTGGTAGCGTCCTTGCGTGGATACTGATGACAGCTGCACAGCGGCCATAACATGTAGACATATGCCACAAAGCGTCCTTGTAGAGGTGAGTTTCCGTTTTGCTTATCTAACAAGATAGTGACTGACCATTCCTGTGGCTATGATCCTGATGTCATATATACACAAATGCCCAATTTTCATTTGAGTAGTTTTAAAGAAAACCACCTCAGTTCTTCAGCAGCTTGTTAGAGATAACACAGTTGGATCAGTGGTTAGCAACATCTTTTGAACATGAATTAATAAAATATGGTAGAAATTTTTTATCATTTCAAATAATATGTAGCTTTGTTGTGACAGGTCAGAATTATATATTTTGAGTTTTAATTTCTCTTTTAATGCACAAGTATTTCTAGAGGCAATACTTTGAATTTTTCACTTATAACCACTGGTTACGATTATAAATTGATAATTGATCTTTACTAACTAGGTCCTTCCTCAATATTACGTGATAGCATGAGGATAATCCTGGAAAGGGTCAAGTGTTATCTGTTTTTCTCATCTGAAAATCATTCACATCAATTTTGACATTTTTTTAGCGTTATCTTTTTTTCTCATACTTACCCTACACTGATCCACATCAATTTTCAGAAAAACCACGTTGGGGTATTTGTTACTGATTTGTTTATACTCGGGTGTCACCATTCTGCATGGCTCACACCTATAAATCAAAATTCAAATGTATTGTTTTTTTTTATAAATGAGGTTTTCATCTGAATACATAAGGTACTTATCTACAGTTTGAATGAAATTAAAAAATCTGGATTCCTTTCTAATTTTCATCCTTCAAAATTCTACAGGGGAATATGCAGCTAAATTGGAAACTTGATGTCACACTCATAATTATAATCCAACATACACAAAACTGACAATCCTACTAAAAACTTCATAAAAAACAGGATTCATCAGAATAATTGTATAACACTATCTAGACAAGAAACATCAGGAAACTTCTGTGCCTTTTTAATGATCAATTCAACAAAGTCTGGTGATAAGATTCTAGCAGTAATTAAATAGCAAATAACCAGAACTGAAAGAGAATCAAGTTGTGTTTTGTATATAATTTTCAAAAGAGTTACTAGTGTACACTAGTTTACAGCAATATGTCCAATTGAATATCTTATTCTGATAATCAGAGCTGTTTAAGATTGGTAGATAACATGTGGCTATTTGCCCATTGCATGATTTCTACAAAATATCTATTATGCTTCAGAAAAAGAAATGTTGGGTTGAAATCTGACAAAACTTAAAATGACCATAGGACTGGGACCTAAGACTTACAATATAAACAGCCTTTACAACGCCTACTTTAACAGAACCTTTAGCATAACAACATTTTTATTCATATGATTTAAATGATATAATATTGCATATTTACATGACTTTTAATGTTTACCTATACGGTACAGCATATATTTTCATTCCCGGAGTTTTGATGTATTGTAAGTAAAATATTCTTGTACTTTCTTGCTAAAAATGTTATTTATATCGAATTCATATATCATTTAGGTATTGATTGAATAGCATTAATCAATTTAATACCTGCCTTGGATAAATGCTATGTTGACAGAAAGTTGTTGAAAGTTTCTATAAATGTTGCAGTATAGATAGAAAACGTGACCCATGTCTTAAATCAATGATGTGTTTTGTCTAAGTTTGAAAAAAAACCCAAAACAAATGTGTATTTTTACACTCGCCATAAGCTTTATAGACATCGATCCTGTATACCCAATTATCTCTCTAAAATCCACTCTGAAGAGTAGAAAATAGTATTAAGAGTAAGCGGTCAATCAGTGTTCCTTACTTTTTGTATCAGTTGACGAGTATTTTCGTTCAGATGTCAGCCGATTCTCCTTCTTATGAAAGTTTGTTGTTATCATTTTGTAGTTTGAAATATTAAAGACTCGTATGTACAACATCAAACAAGTCTGACTATAAAAATAGCCCTATAATATGATAAAACAATGCAGTATACAGACTTTGATCAGAGTGATAATTACATATTTTCAATTACTTAACATCAGCCTCCTGTGAAAACATTACGTGACGAATTCGAAATTTCTAGAGAAAAGATTTAACGTCTGAAGTCATACGAACCGATCGATCAACACACATTATGATTAATGATCCTTCTTACCATGATGCAAAGAAATAGACGACAGTGAGCTTAGAACCAGCGTTTGTCAGCTCCGCATTAAACTGCGAGTCTTCTCCTATCATTCTAACTAAAGACATGTTGATTGTTTAGAGTGATGTCGCACTTTTCTTCACCGGCGAAAGTAATCGGAAGCTCCTTACTGGTGTGTAAATTTCGACCCGGAAAGTTAGTTGGTTTCCGGAAAGTACTGTACATGACCTCGTGTTTGTGTTCATGTTGTAAAAAATAAGCACAATTTTCGAATTAAATTTTGAGTAGTGAAAAATATCACAGACATAGACTTACGTTTCGTCCTCTTGTCATATTTGTTGTGTAATAAGAAGGAGAAATGAAAAACTAGCAAATCTTCGGTTCTCTACCTTACCTTATGTTACCTTATGTTGTTTCCGCCCGCAGGACCTACTGGTCCTCTATAGGCAGCTCAGAATTGTTTGAATACACAACGTAATGAATTGTCGTCCTTCCGGTATCTGGTCCATAACTTGCTGTGACGTCAAACCGTAGAGGGTGATTTTCCCAGAGCTTGTCAATTCTGTTCTTGAAAAGGTTAGTTGTTCTGGCTGAGACTACTTGTTCAGGAAGACTATTTCATGTATCTACTTCTCTGTGTGCAAAGTTGTATTTCCTAAAGTCTCTGGTACAATGTTGTTTCGTTAATTTTAACGAGTTTCCTCTTGTGCTGCTGGACATGTTTAATTTCAACAAATCAGAAGTAACTTTCTGGTCATAAATTCCTTTCAAAATTTTAAAGACTTCGATCATGTCTCCTCGCATCCGTCTGAATTTGAGGGTTGGTAACTTCAGTCATTTTAGACGATGTTCATAGCTCATGTCTTTCATATTTGGTAGCATCCTTGTAGGACGCCTTTGGACATTTTCTACTGCCTCTATATCCTTTTTCTTATATGGTGACCAGACAGAGCTTGCATTTTCCATATAAGGCCTGACCAGAACTTTAAACAATAAGCAGAATGTTCTGTTATCCAAATATATAAAGCTACGTCTCATTAGTCCAACAGTCTGGTTTGCCTTATTTACTTGAGTTTGTATATGCTTCTCAAATGTAAGATGCCTGTCTATGGTTACCCCAATATCCCTCTCGCTTTCAACATTTTCCAGGACTTCTCTACCGCCATTGTATGTATTCATGCTATACCTAGTTTCCTCATAAGTCTTAGCTTTGTTGTGGATGGATAAAACCTTACACTTATCTGGATGAAACTTCAACAACCATCTTTCACTCCATTGGTACAGCTGGTCAAGATCATACTGAAGTATTGAAGTGTCACCAGTGTCCTTAATCACCCTATATACTTTAGTGTCATCCGCAAATAAAAACACATCAGATGATACACATTCAGGTAAGTCATTTATAAAAATCACAAATAGAACAGGCCCAAGAACTGATCCTTGGGGTATTCCACTGGTTACTTCATGCCACTTAGAATGTGCCCCATTGACTTGTACACAATGTTTCCTATTTTTAAGAAAATTTCCAATCCAGGTACATAGATTCTTGTTTATTCCATACATTTTGAGCTTCTCGATAAGTCTTTGGTGTGGCACTTTGTCAAAGGCCTTCATGAAGTCCATATATACAGTGTGTATAACTCCTACTTGGTCCAGAACTTCAGTCCATTTGTCTAATACACATAGTAGTTGTAATGCAGTTGACCTCCCTCCTAAAAATCCAAATTGTCTGTCACTGAATAAACTATTTTTTCCATGTACTCCATTATTCTTGATCTAATTAACTTTTCCATCATGTTACACAAAATACTTGTCAGGCTGACTGGTCTGTAGTTTGATGCTGACCTTTTGTCTCCTTTAAAAATAGCAGTGATAGTGGCAACTTTCCATATCTCTGGTATGCTACCTGACCTCAACGACATTCCTAATATCCTGAAAATTGATTTGTTTATCACAGAGCGCAATTCATACAACACCTTTGGATGTAACTTGTCAGGCCCAGGAGATTTAGTAACATTCATTTTATGGAGTAGATTATTAACCTCCTCAATTGTTATATCAGCTACTGTATCTTGTGCTACGTCTTTACTTATCAATGCTGGTATATTGTTACAATCCTCTTTGGTGAAGACACTACTGAAAAGGCTTGCAAGAACTTCTGCCTTATCCTCATCCGTTCTGGCGATGACTATCCCACTGTCTTTCTTCTCATGAAGCTCTGACACTCCACTCCTTGATTTTCGTTTGGAGTTTACATATTTCCAGAAGTTTTTACTACTTGCCTTTCTTTGTCTTTCCGTTCCTTCCTTATCACCTGCTTTACCTTGTTCCTTGCTTTACAGTATTCCCTATGCTTTACTGCGGTCCTCCATATATCTCTCCCACAGTCTTCCTTTTTAGGCTCTTTACTGTATCCTTTGAAAGTGGAAAAGAACCCTTTGTATTTTTAGGCTTGCTCCTTGGAACGTGTTTCTTAATTGCCAATGATAGCTTATCTAGGAATATGTCCCACATTTGTAAGGTATCTCATCCATTAAATTCTTGATCCCAGTCAATGTTAAGTTCCTCCAGCATGGTGCCATAGTCTCCCCTGTAGTAGTTCAATCTTTCCTGAGTGGTTTGATCTTGATTGAAGAAGCAGCTGTATTCAAACCTTATGACACAGTGATCACTGGATCCTACAGGGTCCAGATATTCAATTGCATCAATATTGTCCATGTCATTCACCAACAGAAGGTCTAACAATGAAGATTCTTGCCCATGCATATGTCTGGTATTTTCATTCATACATTGGTATAAAAAGTTATCCCTGATACATTCCAGAAAGCTTGCACTATTCACTTCCTTTGTACTCCATGCACTCCAGTCAATATCTGGGAAGTTGAAATTTCCTGTTATAACTGTGTGTAAAGCTGCAGTCACAAACTTTATTCAACAACATGTTCAATGCCTCTATATTGTCCTCACTGGATGAAGGACTTTTGTAAACACATCCAAATAGCATTGTATCTTCCTTGTTTAATAATATTTTTACCCACACTCCTCGAAATCTGTTTCAAATTGCAATTCTACTGCACTCAATCTTTTTGTAACATAGACAATAACACCTCTTCTTCTATGACCCGGGAAGTCACTAGGAAATAACTCGTAGTTCGGCAATTCCAGTTCAGATTTATTTATAGTGTAGCGCATGTTCTTTGGTAATACTTCTGTAATTGCAATTATATCTGGTTCATTTTCTGCTGAAAATCTGTTTTTAAATTCATCGATCTTATTTAAAAAAAACTGTCTGCATTTGTACTGACACATAGAAGACTTTTTTTCTTATCTTTATTGGTCCCGTGAAACCTCCGGGATGAATTGTTAACATCGTCTGCAACATTACTTGAACTTAAAACATTATTTTCCAACATATTTACACTATATACATTTAATTGTTTTCCTTCCATATCTACTTTGCACTTCCTTTTGAAGGAGGTACCTTCACCACTCTTCTCGCCCATGGCGGGCCCCGTACCCTGAACCTTTTTTCCCCCGACGACTGTGACTCCATCCTTCTAGCTTCTTCTCTCAGCTGTCTTTCTTGATCCCTCTCCGTTTTAGTCAGGTCGTTTGAAATTTGTGTTTTTAAATTCCTCTGCTGTGTGCAAATGCCTAATGTTTCTGAACAGCTCTGCTTTTGTTTCATTTTTGCTGAATGATACCAATATGGGTCTCCCACCCCTTCTCTCCTTAACAGTATTTCCACTTTCTCTCTGTATTTCCTTGAATTTTCCTAGTTTGATAACCTTTGAGATGTTGTTCACCTCCTCTGTAACCTTGCATGATCTAAGAATTCTTTTTATTGTTTCAGTATCTTCTTGTTTTCTCTTACTTTTGTCATCTATTTTGACTTCTTCTATCCTGTGGATTACAATGTTGTTTTCTCTTGATTTTCTCTCATTCATCTCTGTTATTACTGTCTCCATGGTGATACCCTCCACATCTTCTTCATGGCCAATAGTCTCTTTTCTCCGAATTCCTTTCCCTGACGCCAGTCCAGCTGTCTTTTTAGCTCCAATTTCCTTTTCACAATTTCCTGGACTTTTGCCTCATCACATTTGCTCTCCAATTTTAATTCAATCGCCGATATTCTACTCTCGTAAGCGTGCATAATAATCTGACACCGCTCTTCAATTTTGAGGTCGGTTATAATGTTCTTCTCTATCATCTCACGGCATCTCTACCGCTCGACTAAAGGGAAATTATCACTGGTAAAGGCTAGTAAGGTGAACTTTACATTGCTCCCTCTTTAATAAAGTCTTCGAAGTCTACATCAACCCCGGTTCAATATCTCATTCTAGCCCTAGAGTGGTCAACAGCACCAATTTTGTAATAGTCGGACACCCTTCTCCATTTATCCTGCAACTGGTACGCCTTTGTCGGAATACATCTGTCATATCCATTCAGCTGTGATGAAACAGCTGTATTTTGGCACGTGCAGTAATTCGACAGAAATACTCTATGAATTGATTTAAATGTTACATTTAAAAATATAAATAGTTGTTGAAATAAATGATTTTACATGTTGTAATGAACGTCACGTGATGCTGTAAGTGGACGGACGTGTTTGAGATCGGGGTGAAATAATCTGCTTTATTTCCATATTTTCCAGGGGACCTTTCCTCCAAATTTCCAGTGTCTGTATTGCAGGAAGATTGGTGAACACGGACGTTTGGTGATTTCTGGAAAATTGATCTCGAAAAGGACTTATTTCGCAGGATTGTTTGTGTATTCTTGTGTATAGGCTCGAACAATGAACTCGCATAGCGTCGACAACAGCGTAAGTCACGAGGAACAGGTGCCTTGCTGGACCTGTTAGTGATCTTGTGACCTCTATATTAACTAAAACTTTGTCTTCAGAGATCTTACCTACATTAGAGAAGGTGGTTTCTGACTTATTGGCCAATGATAAAATGACCAATTTCATCGAAAAATGTGTCAACGCCAAAATCTCCCAGATAGTCGATGACAAGGTGTCTACGATGGAACAAAAAATCCTCCTCCAGGACAGTACCATTGAATCTCTAAATGATAAAATTCGTGAGCTAGAAACCCAACACTCAAATTATGACAATATATTGGACGAGCACGAGCAATACTCATGGAGAACC